AGAGAGAGGGGGAGGGGGAGGTTAATGGGAACAAAGGGAAAACGTGGCGAGAACAGGTCCTAATGTTCTGTGGAGTGTGAGATAACTGTCTAATTCAAGAGAGAAGAGTGTTTCCAACACAAATGATAGTGTCATGTCATGGGATCTGCCTGTGTCTGCTGCCAGCTCAGACTTGGCGTCACCTGCTGCAGCCTCTGACCACGCTAACTCCTCGGGCTGACGGAGCAGTAGGTGGAGGCCGTGTGGAGTCCACAGAGAAGTCCTGGTTGATGGCAGCGGGGAGGCTGTCCCTTAGAAAGGAATCCAATGCTGTTGAGGTAGGTTTCCCAGGGACGGCATGTGAGGGACAGGGCTCACCTCAGTCCACACATTACCCAGCACCCCACATATGACGTCACAGTGCCTGAAGCCACCACCCAGCCTTACTTCCTCTCCTGCCTCAGCCTGACTGGGGGAAGGATAAGGGAGCCAGAGGGTGCCACTGTCCAGGACTCACAGGTCTGCTTTTGTGACTGTGTGTGTCCCTTCCCTGTAGATGGAGGCCGCTTGTTTGTCCCGGGCACCCAGATGCAAAATAACCACACAGAAACTGTATTAATTAAAACACTGCTTGGCCAATCAAGTTATCGCTAGCTAGCTCTTATATCTTAACCCATTTCTATTATTTCATATTTTACCATGAAGCTTGCGGTTTACCAGCAAGGTTCTGACATGTCTGTCTCCTACAGCAGTTCCATGGCCTCTCTTTGACTCTGCATACTGTCTCTATGTATCTTTTCCAGCCTGGCTATATTCTGTTAAGCCATTGGCTGAAAGAAGCTTCTTCATCAACCAATGGCAATAAAACATATTTACAACTTGCAGAGGGGAATCCCACATCACCTCCCTTTTTCTGTCGAAATAAAAAGGAAGGTTTTAACTTTAACATAGCAAGATTACATATAACCAAACAGGTATCAAGCAAGAATTACAGTGACAATATTTACATCTACTTTATCTTTTATCATAACTGAGGAAAACTATAACTATCTATTCTTCAACTCCATCAAAGACTCCAGAAGGATATAATATTACTCAAGTAAACAGGAAGTGCATTGTAAGCAACTTCCAAAACTCTAGAACTGACAGAGACATCTCGCTACCTGGACAGTCACCCAAAGTTCTTTTGTAACATTGGGGTGGTACCCATCTTCAGCCTACAGGCCCATATCCAGCAGACTTTTACATGAAGCAGGAAATTTGAAAGACTGTTTTGCCCCTATTGGCAGTTTGTCTGTCATTTTCTTCTGTATCCTGCAGAAAGTGTCTGGCAGACTCTTTCATGAAGCAGGAACCCTGAAGGACCATCTCACCTTTAGTCAAGTCATTGAACACTGTGGACACGTACTGAAGCATCCCAGAGTGCTTCTTACAAAAGCAGGGATGATTTCTGTGTCAGTTAAAATATCTTAAATAATGGCCAGGTGGTGGTGGTGCACACCTTTAATCCCAACACTCAGTAGGCAGAGACAGGTGAATCTCTGAGAGTTTGAGGCCAGCCTGGTCTACACAGTCAGTTTCAGGACAGGCTTCAAAGCTACACAGATATACCCTGTCTCAACTCCCCATATGTGTGTGTGTATGTATATATGTATATATACACATATATAGATAGATATAGATAGATATGTATCTTAAATATTTCAAAAAATCTTAATAACAAATCGGAAGTTTCCTCTAGATTAAACAGATGTCAAATTTTAAAAACAGCAGCAGGCACTATTAGAAGAAATATAGAATATCCCTAAGGGCATCTAGGTATATATTAATGTAAGATTCAGGTGACATCATCTCTGTGAGAGAGATTTCTTGTGGACTTTCTCAGAAGCAGACTGGATTTTTGAAAGAGAAGTACACGTTGGCCCCTTGTTCTCTTTGGTTTGCACACTCAGGATGCTGTGGATTCATTAGCACTTGGGAAGGGCTGGTTTGGGATTTGGTTGACTCTTTCCCTTACAACAAAGGCTCACTGGTTATGTCTCAGCGCTCACAATTCATGAGCATCACAAAGAGACCCATTTGCACAATTATTCCCCACTCTATCCAAAGAAATACCTGTCTGAACTTGTCCTCATTATTTTTCCTTCTCTGAAATGACTCTTTTCATCTTTTAAAATATATACTTGGAAATCTGCGGTTCTCTTTTAAAATGCTATCTATCCCCAAATACTTAAATAGCTCTACTGATGGGTTAAAATATATGGCCCATTACAAAATTATGACTCATGAATGAGGTCTCATGTAATTTGGTAGCCTGATATCATCTGTTTTGTATTTTTTAAAAAAAAAAAAAACTTTAAAAAGTACAGGTTTGCCCATGGCTCTACTCCCTGCCTGGTCGCCCCATCTACACTTCCTGCCTGGCTACTGGCCAATCAGCATTTTATTAAAATACTGAGCCTCACACATGGTAAAGGCTCAGCAACACGAGCCAGGTGTGGTGGTTCACAGTGTAGTTACTGCACCCACGAGACTGAAGCAGAAAGATTGCCTGTTCGAGGCTAACCTGGACTACATAGTGGGATCCTGTCTCAGAAGAAAGAAAGAGAGAGGAGGAGGAGGGAGAGAAGGAGAGAGGGAGAGAGAGGGAGGGAGAGGGGGGGGAAGACGTCTTCTGTCTTCTGATTGAACAAAAAATGAACAAAAGTGTCAAAATTTGCTCATAGTCAAGGTCGCAAAGCCAAAACAATTTCAGTTTTGTTGTGTGTGTTTGAGACAGCATCTCATATATTCAAGGCTGGTCTCAAGTAAAGATGTAGCCTGGGCTGTCCTTAAATGGCTGAACATCCTATTCCTACGTGCCAAGTCCTGAGATGACAGGCGTGCACTCCCTTGACAAACCCCGGCAATTACTGTAATTTACAACTCCCGTTACTGGACTCCTGAACAATGAGTTTGTCCTGAGTTCTGTTTGGAATCCTTAGAGCCCCAGCAAACTCATCAACCGTCGAGTCCATTTCCTCCAGATGGCTCTTATTTGACAAGGGCATACGGTAGGTACAGTCATTTTTCATCTTCCTGTGAAGGATATGCTATCTGGTGGCTTCATCTTGAATGGGCTATTATAGCAAACCACGCCGCTATTTCTAAGAAGAAGATACCTCGTGGAGGTCAAAAAGAGCAGTTTTGTCATTTGCAATAGAGTTTCTTGTTTTTTTTTTTTTTTTTTTTTTTTTTTTTAAATTGCTGTTAATCTGAAAACTGATGTCTCTCAAAGTACATCTTATTCGGTGAGGCAGTCATTGCCGTCCCCGGCCTGAACATGAGAAAAGCGAGCGCCTTTGCTGTGTGGAGGTGGCACGTGTGTTTTATAAAATTTGAGTAATACGGCCGGTGGTTCATGAGGCATCTGATGCACTTAAAAGATAAATAGGTCACCCCTGAAGATGCCGAGCCATCTGCTTCTCAAGGGTCTTTGTGCCACGGATGAAAACGGAATCATTATTTTTGAATCGCCTCTGCTCACGTCAGTGACTCCCTCTTCCAGCCTGTCCCCTGGTTATAAGAGCCCGGGAACTGCTGGCAGATCGTAGGCAGGGCCAGGCGAAGCCCTCTCCAGCATCCTGGTAAGTTTATTGCCTCTGTCGGTGCTTCAGCTTCCGTGCCCCAACTTGAGATGAAAAACGGTCTCAACTTAGGCTGCTGTGGGATGTGTCTGTCTGTCTGTCTGAGATATATTTGCTGGGAACATTTCTCAGTTGAGGACACTTTAAGTATTCTTTCTGGTTGCTATTTTCATTTCTTCCTCTTCTTCCTCCTCCTCCTCCTAATTCTCCTCCTCTTCCTCATTTTCTCTCACCCTCTCTCTGTATCTGTCTTTCTCTCTCCCTTTTTGTAGTACCAGGGATTGAACCCAGGGCTTTGTGAATGCTAAACCATCACTCTACCACAGAGGTATATCCATCCGCAGCCAAAGTACTTTCTATTTCTCTGCCATTTCATGTTCATAAAAAAAAAAACCCTGCAGACTTAAGACAAGATTTTTAGACTTAAGATTTATTTTTTAATTTTAAATCTTGTACTGTTTTGGATATTAAATTCTCTCTCTATATATATATATATATATACACACACACTCTGTATGTATGTATGAATGTGTATGTATATTATGCAGATTTCATACCCAGGCTTTCTAGGGACAGTCCCATTGCTTTGCTCAGCACATCACAGTGTTTCCATCACTGTGAAGTGTTTTAAGCTAGTCCACTGGATTTCAAGAACCTCATTTGCAGCTGACCCCCCAAAAACGGTAATAAAACTTAGGCGAGCCAATATGCTCTTTCTTCTCCTTTATCTGCCTGGATCCTTGTGTTTCTTTCTCTTCCCTCTGACTTTCTCCGTGACCATAGTCCCCCCTGTTTCATATAGCACCATGTCCAAAGCACCCCTCCTGCTGTTCTGGGCTGCCCTGGTACTGAGCAGCTATGCACACGGAGCTGTGCTGAGAAAAGAAGACACGTGGAAGCCGCTGAGCAACCCCAGAAACAGAGAACTGGTAAGAACATGCCTGGGGAGCAAGGGCTGAGGGATGCAGCCAGCACCTCCCGAGAATCATAAGGTGGCAGCCAAGGCTTGAGAAGACTCTCAACAGGACAGGACTAGATGTTGCTCCCCTAGTAGCGGGCACCCTAATGTTTCTCTAGCTGATTTACATTTGTTTCCATATGGAGAAACAAGTGTATATTAGAAGTCAGTTTATAATATACAGCGTATCGCATTTGTCAGTGATCTTATCTATACCCCAGGATCAGAGCATTGGTTTCTAACGTGCGTACAGTATGAAAAGGGGATTGCGTCTTAGCTTGGGGTTGGGAAGCTTGCCTAACATGCGCGAGGAACCTGGGTTTGGTCCCCGGAACAGCAGGAAAAGGGGAGAGCAAGAGAGAATCTCTTTTTGTAAGGCATACATACACGGCATGGAAGACATATATGGTGGAACGATTTGCCCCCACGGTGGCATTTCAAAGCTTGTTTGCAGAAACTGGATGTGGACCCTGGGCGGCTATCAGTTTCGAGCAAACAGGTATCTAGAAAACAGAATTCAGATCAGAAGAATACTCTTTTAAAAGGATGCCCAGCTCGGCAAGCGTGTTGTTGATAAGACTATTTCAAATGTAGTTTCTCTGAAGTGAAGGGAAGCCGTTAAGCCGCTAGCACACCCTCTAGCCATACTTTTGCTGAAGGGTATCTGAAAACAGACGCAGTAATCCAGGGCAGTAACTGGGGTCTCCTCAGGCGGAGAAAGTGGGGTTCGGTTTCATCGCTGACCTTGCTGGTTGGAGAAGGTTCACTATAAATCTCTGCCAGAAGCGTGGCTTCATGGATTCATGCCTTCCCCGGGTTGCCACCAAGAATGCTGAATTGCCCTGTGAGGGCTGAAATGCCAGAAAGCGGTCAGAAGCTTCAAGCCTCTCTAAACTGTCAACTTCCGGCTTCTCTGGCTAGTGCTCAGGGAGGAGGAAGGCGGGAAACAAACACGGGGCTCTGGGCGTTAGGGTGTTCCGTCTATAAGGCACTGAGCGTTTTCTCTGTCTTTAGTTTTTCAGAAGCCTCCAGGCCTATTTTAAGGGCCGAGGACTCGATCTTGGGAGCCTTCCAAATGACTTCCCCATGGATGAGGACCCCAGACCTCTCCCTTTCCAGGCGGAGCGTATAGCTTCTGCATTTGCAGACTACGAAGAGCAGAAAAACTCCCTCCTTAGGTCCCACAAGGGCTGAAAGCTCTTTACCTCCGAGCCCAGGTAATGCCGCCCGTTCGGTCCCAGGGTCTGTCCAGGCACGCAGTCATGCAGGAGACATTTTGACAGCTTCCGTTTTACCCATCACTATTAAATAATGAGATCTGGCGCAGGCATTTCGTAGTCTGTTTTTTAAAAAAATAAATGATAGTAATGTCACTGAAGAAAAGCCTATTCAAATCATAGAACTGTCAGTCTTAGGAAGATTTTCAAAGTGATGGATAGCACATAGTCTTACTTCTGCATTTTTTTCCCGACCTGGCCACATAGGTAAGTTACGCGGAAAATTACATGTAAAGAAATAGGTTAATGACTTGGACTGAATGGTAAAGTTACAAGAGCAGCTCTTTTGAGGAAAAGCGTTGTGCATGTCTTTGATCTTGAACTTCCTCACCTAGAAAAACAAATCACAATATTAGCAAAGACAGAATTTTTCTTGTAGGAAAACATTTAAAATATATTTATAAGATTTATAAGATTTGAATTTCACTTTTTGCACTCTTTTCAAACAAATAGGTATGATTTTAGAAGCAGTAGGCATGTGTGTTGTGGGGGGGGGGGGCTGAGCTTCATGAAGGCTACAACAGAAAAGTCCCAAACTTGCCCAGAGGCTTGGGGACAAAAGAAGAGAAAACCCATATGTGTGGGACACGTGCAGCGCCAGCCTGTGCTCGTGGCTTTTTCATGAATTCGTACCCCAAATGTTGGGTGCCAAATGTAGCATGAATAATAAAAACCCAGAGACAGATATTGTCTTTCTTTTCTTAGATTGTAACTCTCTCTTACTCTTTCAGGTGTCGCTGTGTTGAAGCTGCAGAAAAGCTTTTCAGTAGAAAGATTCAACTGTGGCTGAAGTCTTCTTTTGTGTGTGTGTTTCCCTTCCATGTTAGCCAATTTATAGCATTTTTATTCTACATTTCCAGATTATACATAGAGACAGTTGGGCTTTTGCAACATATGATACTGACATGCATATTTCAGGACTATTTCCCCCTTTGTGATCATAATTATCTAGTGGAAGGTTGCATGTATTTGAATGAGTCACAAAAATACAACAAATGAAATAAAATGATAACTTTCCAAATCAGATATTTTCTTGACGCCTGATTTAAAACTGTCTTTTTCTATTAATTACTTATTATTAATCAATATTTTTACTTAAACAAGGTGTTTACTTTTTACTACAGTGTATTGTACCTAATAGGGACTCAGACCTGTTTACTATCGTTTATAATATATAATAGAGGTTCAGACTTAGGATTTGTCTTTTTTTCCCTTCTAAAAAGATGATAAGTCCCACTTTTAGCTTGTGCTCTCATCACCTACTGGGTGAGGGTGATGCGTATCCCAGTGAAATAGGAAATAAACAGGATTCTAGTTGCTGCAAGGTCTCTGGGAGATGCTCTCATGCTGCCTTTGAAGCTAAAAACTGCCACATGTCAAATATTCCACCTTGACCCTAACTTTACTTTAAATCTGAGTCACTCAACAAGGGACAGCAGCAAAAGGTGAATTTCCTTCTCCTCCAACCAAGTCACTCTCCTACTGAGCCCATTCGGGGTCCACATTTTCGTTTGATATGGCTACTTTCCTTGTGCTTTTATGAACACTGGCAGTGTTTTCTTGCATGATCATTGTCCCTGAACTTACACAGCATTGCTCTGGTATCATTTGTCTGTGTGTTCCAAAACGTTCCACTGTAGCTTTTTGAGAACTGTCGATACTGAATATTGATATGGGATTCTCCTCTGTGTGCTGTGATTACCACTGATTAATAGAGAAACTGCTTTGGACCTACAGCAAGGCAGAACTTAGCTAGGCGGGGAAAACTCAACTGAATGCTGGGAGAAAGAAGGTGGGGTAAAAGGAAGCCGTGTAGTCCCTCTAGAGACAGATGCCAGAACTTTACCTGGTAAGCCACAGACACGTGGTGATACACAGATTACTACACATGGGTTAGCCAATAAGAAGCTAGAGCTAATGGGCCAAGCAGTGATTTAATTAATACAGTTTCTGTGTGATTATTTTGGGGCTGAGCAGTCGGGAACAAACAAGCAGGCCCCTTACTATAGAATATGTAGAATAAAGTACTGTGCACGAACAAGTTCTGAGTCTAGCTTAGCGCGTTCTACTGCAGTTAGTGACTTAAGTGCTTGTCTCTGGAGGGTTGTGAGATGTTTGTGAGCAGCAACCATTATGTGACTCATTCGTCGCTCTCCAGAACCTAGCCCACTGTCTGCTGGGTAGCAGTTGTTCAATTAATACTTGTTAATTCAAGTGTGCCTTGACATCCTTCACACAGTCCTAAACATAAAGCAGAGGACACTGTAGTTAACAAGATTGTTTTTCCACCATTTAAAAAGATAAGCGATTACTATTGTGTTACTCCTCATTCAAGTATAACAGCTTTTTCAGGTAAATGGCTGGATGAGGTGTTCCTCGCTTCTGTGACATTCCTGAGTGGAACCAGAGGCCATTTTCCCTTCCTCGACACCATTTCTCATCCAGGCGAGGGTTGATTAATTTCAGAGACCTTGAAACTGATGGGCACACACAGGAGACTCTCTAGGTATGAGCTTGTGAATCACAGGGCAGAGGTATGTGGCCTTTAGCTTAAAAATTCCTCCCCAGAGTATCTGTGTGTCCCATACTGGATACCCAGGAGGTCCCGAGTTGAAGGGTTTCCTCTGTTGGAAGCAAATGCACTTCAAGTGTTATAGACTGTCAAGAGTCCTGTGGTGCATTCTGTATAGGTCTATGTAGACCGTCAAGAGTCCTGTGGTGCATTCTGTATAGGTCTATGGCAACCTTTCCCCTCTGGGTTTGCTCTTCTTCAGCGAGGATTCCATTTCCAGGATATGGCCCATTATCACCTGTTCTGGATCTGGCATGGTCAAGAGTTTCTGAGAGTTGAGACTGTTATCCTACTTGCAATTTTTTTTTTTTTTGGTTTTTCGAGACAGAGTTTCTCTGTGGTTTTGGAGCCTGTCCTGGAACTAGCTCTTGTAGACCAGGCTGGTCTCGAACTCACAGAGATCCGCCTGCCTCTGCCTCCCGAGTGCTGGGATTAAAGGCGTGCGCCACCACCGCCCGGCTCTACTTGCAAAATATTAACCTTCTATATTTTCCTATATCCTGGCAGGCGACGAGGCCCCTGAACTGAGACAATTGGTCCAGTGACTCAGGTGTGTCAGAAAGCCTGACTCATACTCTCACTTAGTCCTGATTTATTGAAGGAGGCGAGTGAACAGGGGGCCCAGAGGTATACTAGAGATAGGTGTGTCTCCAACCAAAGCTGAAGAGCTCAAAATGTAGGAAAATCTCTCATTATGATCTTGCTATGGGGGAAAAGGTCCAACTTTCGCCTTAGAGGGAAACAGGATCTTTATCAT